TGGAGTGGTGGGCGCCATCTTGGCCAGGTCACGTGTTCCATTGCCCCGCAGCCAAAATGGCGGACCACCGGTGGCGCCATCTTGCCAGGGAATGGAGACTCACGTGGTCGGGAAAATGGCGGCAGCTTGCGGCCTAGAGGAGAGCCCGCATGAGGCCAGCCACCGGAACCAGAGTCCTGTAGGAACCGACAGTTTACACAGGCGCGCCCAGCCGTCCAGCTGGCCAGAGCACAAAACAGGCAATCGAGATGCAAAAAGGTTTTGGGAATCACAATCCTCCCGGCCTGCAGACATCATCCCAGCCTCCTCCCAGAAATCCAGCCTGGGGAATGCATGCAAACTCCCGTAAGGGCAAACACAGAGAGGCAGACACAAAATCCCGAACACCAGCGAGAATAGGCAAGAAGACGGACACAAAGGGATGGGGCTGCGGCAATACATTACGAGTGTCCCTATGAGTTGCTTCGGAGAGCCATCCACCTCCCAGATGTTGCCGGAGCAGCTCAGCCTGGCTTCCTTTCCAGCTGCGCACCGTCTTATTTATGTTAGATCTCTCTCTGGAGCTAGATTTATACCTCGGTCCTTGGCTCCGCGCGAGAAAGAATTCACGCCGAAGCCTGGTTCGTGATCGAAGTGAGTTTTATGAACGTTAGAAGAAGTTTCAGGTTTACACGGCACCAAAGGGGCTCCTCCCGGACACGTGGCCTAGCTGGAAGCGGCTCTGCGTCCCGCAAAGCGTGCCAAAGCTCTCTGCGCCTGAGTTCTCCCTCCTCCCTTTAGGTCCTTCTCCTCCGTTCTAAGTTCTTGTCCTCCCGTCTCGGTTCTTGTCCTTGTTCTAAGATCCCCTCTCCTCTGGGCTTCTGCCTTTTCAAGGATTCCACAGGGAGGCGTGGTGGAAGACCCCTGGTCGACCCCATTGGCTGAATTGAATTTACCTGGCTAGGTGATCAATTCAAGTTCACGCCCACCCCTGCCTATCGGCGGGAACCCTGAACATGTGCGCTGTGCCACTCCTTTGTTCCCCTAGCTTGGCCCTCTGGGCACACGTTAATGGACATCCCCCAGTCCTATGCTGGTCTACCTAACAGATTCTGGGGTGATGCAGATTGAGATCCTGTGGGCCCAGGGTGGGGAGAAGGGAGAGTTAATCTCTGGGTGGATAGTCGTTCAGAATTGTACTCTTCCCGTCTTTCAGAGTCCTGTAGGTACATGGCCCTTCTCAGTCACTGCATGGGACTTAGCATTCCCTCACTCAGCCTCTCCAGACTC